GGCTGTCTTGTCTTTGAAAAGTCGTGGCCAGGACCCGAGGCCGAGAAGTGGGGAGGGGAAAGCAGACATTGCGGTGCCTTCTCGGGGTTCACCAGGAGCGAGTTTGGTGTGGAAACTCGGTGTCTGGGTGATGTGTCGGGGTGCGCAGCCCTTCCGGAGGCGAGGCCCGGAGAAAGGAGGGAGTGATTCATCAGCTCGGACCTGGCCGCTGGGGTCTGGGAGCCGAGAGGCAAAGGCTGGCGGCCGGTGCTGAGCTGGACAGCTGGGTGGTGGCCCCGACGGGGCCTGCGAGGGAAGCACAAGCCCTTCTTACCCCTGCGGGTGCGCCTCCTCGGAGGGACTTTCCTGGGGCGGGGGGCGGGGGCAGCTGAGAAGATTCCAGGCTTAGGTGTGGCCGTGCAAAACCGAGCCCAAGGTCAGGGAGAAACCAGGGTGGTCCTGAAGCCTTATTTGTTTTCATTGTACCTCAAGTTGTGTTTGTTTTCGGGTGTCCTGAGGCCCCAGGATGCTTCAAGGGTTGTCCTGGACCTAGCACAGTGCCTGGTACTCAGTAAATAGTTGTTTGGCCAATAATGACAGCAGTAATTAATATCTGTTAAGCACTCACTGTGAGCCAAGCCCGGCGGCCTGAGCTGGGTGGGAATTGGTCCTTCTGCAGAAGAAGGGTCCTCAGTGTTTCCAGGGAGCCCTGCCTGACCTGTCTGAGGCAGTGGCTCAAGCAGCTCATTCCATGGTGCCCCGTGGGCTGGCATCAGGGACTTGAGCTTCATCACTGGCATCTGCTCCCCTAAGAGGGGGAGCAGGAAAGTCTTCATTTCTGCAGCTCGCTGAGCCTGAGCGCGTATCTTCCAGGCTTCTGCTGGCCCTGTTGGAGATGGGTCTTGTGCAGGGTCTAGGAGCAGCGTCCTCCAGCAGGGGCTCGGCTCCGTGGTGGCAGCAGGTGGAGGAGCCGTCTCAGTCCCTGTGGGTGCCTCTGGGCTAGCTGGCATGAACTTCCCAAAAGAGAGCAACAGCTCGTGTTCCTGGAACTGTGATTGCAAGCAGTCTTGGGAATGATTCCTGACTGGCACAGGATTAAGAGTGCGTGAGGATGTGGGGCTGCGTAATTGTAAAGAAGAGTGTCATTCCCACCCCTGTCCCATTGTGACTAGGGTCAGTGTGCAATTCAAGCCTTTAAATGGTCTTAATGCTGAAATTAGCAAAGTATGTGGGCAGCACCCCAGGACTTTGGCTCCAGATGAGAGAGGGAGTGATCTGGGCTTGGCCATCCCCAATTTTAGGTGGGATGCTGCATCCAGTCCCTTCCCAAGATCACCTTTCCACCTTAATTATGTCTTCTGTGAATCAAGTACTCCTAATACATTTTCTCACTAAGTAAGCCCTTACATACACCTATGAGGTTAGCATTTTATCACGACCTTAGAGATTAGGAAGACGAGGCTCAGAAAAGTTAAGCACGGTAAGTTTTTCAAGGTCACACACCTGGTGAGGGACAAAGCCAGGATTTGAACCAAGGCAGTCTGACTCTGGACCCATGCTCTCTCCCCCATGCCAGGCTGTTTCTAAGTCCCTACTGGTTCTCCATGGCAACAAGGAAGCAACAGTGATGCAGTACTAGCATGGTCCTGGGCCTCTACTGCAGTTCTCTTTTTCCACACACTCTGCCCAGCCTGGGTTGCACCGGGGGCCATGGGAATCAAAGGCTGGGCGGCACCAGGCTGCTAGAGCTTTCCATGTGGATCTGGAGTCAGGACAAAGTGGGGGCTTAGGAGTGATTTCAGAGAGATGTTGCAGTAATTCCAGTGAGAGATAATTCGTGGCTTATCTGAGATGTGGGGACAACGCTGCCACAAGTCACAAGTCACAAGTCACAAGTTTGGGGATGGAAGAAATTGCCAGGTAAACATGTTCAAATGGATTACTATATTCCTTTCCCTTTTTGGCCCTGACTAGGATAGAAATCTATTACACAGGGAAACCAGCCCCCACCTGCAACATCCTGCCATCACTCACGTGGTAAATATAAAGGCACATGTCACGGCTGTCCTTCTCACCCCTGCACCAAGCACCCCAGAGAGCTGGACTCCTCTGAGGTGTCTGATCCTCAGGAGAGCCAGGGCAGCGGGGTAGGAGGTGGGGGTGACAACCACATGGCTCGCCTGGTCCCCAGCTTGTGCTTCCACACATGGACCCCAGAAAGGGACAGTG